CTTGATCGTCAGAGCGACGTCCAGGGAGAACACCCGGTCATCCTTTAACGATTCTTCTGTGTTGTGTTCTCAGGTAAACCCCCAGGACAGATCCATCAATCAACTTCCAATCCCTTGTAAAGCATGTCACAACAGTTCCAAACATCGATCATCTCCTTTCTTATCTACCACCAGTAACCTAAACCCAAATGAAAACCCCTCATCGAAAAAAGACAATTTTCATGTGTTGATCTTTCTATCTCGATTTCTACCTGATCGGATTGGAGATCTGTGGTGTGGTTGGATGGACATTTTGATTATGCTTTGTTTCAGATTTCTATATTTCTGGATTTAGTTATGTTTCAGAATTCATATTTCTTGATCGCCGATGAAGATGGAAATGGTGGATCTAGGCATCTCTCTTCTCTATTCCATCTCTTTCTTACCAGATTTCTAGATTGTTGGATCTAATGTCACCTTGTTCCTTTAGCACATCAGTGTTCTTACCAAATTGAACCAATAATTGAAGCCATTAAAGTTGCAGGTTTGTCACTATATACTAATTCTCCTCCCTCTCGTACCTATCGTAACCACCATCGTGTTAGGATTTGGAGTTGCCGACGATTTCGACCCACTTGGCTTAAGTTGTATCAAGTGGATTCAAGTATGGTGAAAGAAGATGTGATGTATGTTTGTTATGAATCTGGTGGATGGGTTTTATTTTAGGTCAAATGTTTGAAGTCAAGGTTATGTATGTGGATTCGAATATGGTAAGTCCAGTCCTGTTTATTTATTTATTGAAGTTGATGATTGAAATCAAGATTTGAGGCAAGGGTGTTATGAATCATGTGGTAATTTGGTTACATTGAAAATCAAATGGTTGAAATCAAGATTAAATATGTGACAAGAGGTGGTTGAAGATGAGGAGACATACCAGGTGGAAATATGGTTACAGTGCAAATCAGAGCTTAGGTTCTGAAAGGGAGAGGAACATGGTGAGGATTGAATATGCAAACTACAGTCGATTAAAGCATATCGGTACCCTTCCGCTGACCCCCTTGATAAATCGATATTGTTTCAAGATGAAGGATTCGAAGAGAATGTGAGAGGGGAAACAGAGGTTGAAAGGAGGGGGTGGATGCAGAGCAAGGGTGCAGCAAAAAGGTGGTCACCGGAGGGGAGGATTAGGAGTCACCAGAAACTGGAGAGGGAAGTCAAAGGCAGCCATGATCTGAAGATGAAGTCTGACATGTATTTAGTGCAGAGAGAGAAAGATTATACTTGATATTTTTATTTATTATTTATTGTATATCTAATTTATATATAATTATAATAAATAAACTAT